ACTTCTAAGTCAAAGAGTAAAAAGGTTTTCCTAATTTTGCACTCTAAACATCATTTTGCAATGATTAAATCTCAATTTTAGTTCCTAAACTTTTAATTTTAAACATTTTTAGTTCCTAAATTATTTTTTGCATTTTTTTTCCCAAAACTATGAAAAACGTACTTTTTAATTCTTTTATTAGTTAATCCGTTAAATCAATTTATATATGCACATTTTCCTTTTTTTATCCACAAACTATGAAAATATACTTTTTTTATACTTTCATCAATTAATTTGTTAAGTTAGTTTATATGTGTATATTTTTAGGCCCTAAGCTTATAAATTGAGAGAAAAAATATGCATATATTAAAAGGTTTTTCTATCCTATGCATTAATAAATATTGACTTTAATTTAATCAATTGGTAAATCAAATCTATCCACTTGGCAATGATGTTAAAATAAAGGTCAAATTTCGTATTTTTCATATACATTAATTGTAAAAAAATACATTTAGAGCAATGCTAGGGGCACTTGCCTCCTACACTCTCCGGCCAACACTTTCTCTTTTATTGGGCCACGTTATTTTGGTTTCTGAGAGGTTGCACCTGAAAGCTTTAAGGAAGATTATGTGGCCCAATGAAAGGGGAAGTGTTGGCTGAAGAGTGCAAAAAGCGAGTGCCCCTAGCACTGCTCATACATTTATTATGCACTTGACCTGCACTCTAAAAGTACAAGTTAGACAAGCCCTATATTATGAGTATATGGATTAAAAATGTGCATATTTAGATAGACTTAACAGATTAATTGATAAAAAAATTTAAAAAATGCATTATTCACAGTACAAAAACTAAAAAAGTGCAAAAATAGTTTAATGACTAAAAATGTTCAAAATTAAAAGTTTAGGGACTCAAATTATTTAAAATTAAAAGCTGAAGGGCTAAAATTAGCATTTAACCTTTTGCAATTAGCCATTCACTCGGAATTTAACCTGTCCAGAAAATTACCAAGGGTGCGTTGAGTAACTTGAGTTTGGCTAATTTATTATTTTATAATTTTTCCTTAAATAGTAGGTTAAGGTGATTTACATCCGAGTACAACAATTGCAATTTCAGGTACTGTTCAAAAAAAAAGGTTAAATGCTAGATTTGGTCCCTCAACTATAGTGTTTGCACATTTTTGATCCCTTAACAATTTTTTACACTTTTTTGATCCCTTAACTATACGAAATGCACTCCGTTAGTCCTTCTGTCAATTTTCGCCGTTAACTTGGCCACATGGCATTTTTTATATTTTTTTTGGATGACATGGCAAAAACAACTTAAAAGGCACTAATTTAGACTTTTTTTGGCGACATGTCATCTTCCTTTTCATCTTCCCTCTCTGCAAAATTAACCTCATCTTCCTT